GGAAACAGCCCTCACTCATCGAAATGAAAGGAAGTCTGCACACAGCGAGAGACCCAGTGCAGTCAAGAATAAACAAAATTCTAAACAGATGAACTGCGGGAGGTAGTCAACTCTGTTTTACAGAAGCTTCTTCAAGACCTCTCCTCTAGGGATGCAACTGATACAAGAATTGCTTGAAGAGGAGGAGGAGGGAGAGAAAAAGAAGGTGGGAGAGAAGCCCCACGAGCACCTCTGGGTATATGAACAAAGCTGCAAAGATGTGCCCTGTCGATCATCAGAACACACCCTTGGGAACAAGCGGTCAGTGTCCCTTCATACTCAAGTCCTGGGATGAGCATCTTCCATGTGAATTCTGAGCTCCTTGAACTGTAGTTGCTTCATGGACCGTGTCCTTTCTCATGTCTGCATCTCCAAGCATGGAATCCACTCCTCTGTACTCATCACACACTCCCCCACCCCCTGTACTCACATCCAAGCTTCAGTCCTGCCTGTCTACTCATGATGCAGGCGGACAGTGTACCTCACAATCACCTTAGAGTTACTGCCCACAAGGCAAAAAAAACCCAAAACATTAGACCCAAGCATGCTGTATTTCCTCAGCTTGAGAGAGTGAAACTCTCCACTGCTTTCATTATGGTCATTACTGACTCTTGCTTCTCAAAAGTTACTATTTGTATTTATTCTCATCCACTTCTGGGGCTGTTCGTGATTCTGAGCAACTGTCAGAACCCTGACACTTTCTTACTTCTGGAAAAGTAAAAAGTCTAGAGGCACTTCTGTCGAGGCTTATTTTTAGGTCTTGCAGGTGTCTTCTGCTGGTACCCTGAAAAATGTGCTGCTCACTCGAAACACAGAATAGTGATATGTGGGTAAATGCAAAAAAGCTTTGGCTTAAAAAAAAAAAAAAATGACGGTGAAAGCAGAGGCCACCTTTTTATAGGCTGGTCACTTGGTTTGCAGGCTCTTTTTTGAACTCTCTGATGCTGCTTATCTCAAAGAGGGCCCTGAGCTCAGAAAACAAGGAGAAAGGTGTCTTTGTACCCAGATGGTATTTGGCGCACCCAGGATGGCCACTGGGTGGCGCCAAAGGGCTCACTTTCCCCTGCTTCTCTGTCCATCCGTGTGACCCTTTCTGAGGAATCCAGATACACAGTCAGGGGAAGAGGAATGTCAAGACCAAAAGGGCACCTGATCTTCGTCCTTGAGGGTCATTTGAAAACACCCACTTTGTTCAGACGAAGAAAGCTTGGTTTGGTTATCCTATGCACTGCCTCGAGGCAGATGCCACCCATGTGTACAAGTCCCCATCAGCAAAAGGCTCCCTGAACAGGTTTTATTTCCTTGGTTGATCACCTTTGGGCACTAATAGTGAAGGGATTCATGCGTTTTAGGACGGACTCTAAAGGAACTTTGAAAAGCTAGGAAAGCAAATCAAAACTATGCTCCGGGGATTTCCCTGCTGGTTCAGTGGCTGAAACTCCATGCTCCCAATGTAGGGGGCCTGGATTTGATCCCTGGTCAGGGAACTAGATCCCATGTGCTGCAACTGAAAATATCTCACATGCCGCAACCAGGATCCGATGCAGCAAATAAATATTTTTTAAAAATAAAACAAAAAAACAAAACAAAACAAACAAAATCCAGTATTGAGAAACAAGTCCTCTCCTCCGTTGTTTGTGGAATTCCAAATCAGAACCACAACCACAAAAGGCAATTTTGGCCGAAGCTAGCCAAACTATAAACATGTATTCTGTTTCTAGGAATTTACCCTATGAATACCTTCACTTGTGTGAATGTCACATTAGAGCAGGGTTCCTTATAAGCTTGAGGAAAAACATTAAAACTATCTGTAATATGAATAGAAAACTCATGAATGAAATTATAAACACCCACATAACAGAACACTGTGGGTTCAGGGGCCCCTTCCAAGACCACTGCCCACCCCCAGGATCCCCCACCCTTATTTACCCTTATTTACCATTTGTGAGCCCTTCCAGCCATCAGTAATCGCCTGCTCCAGCTCTTCCCAGGTGACCATGGTGGCCTCTTCTGGAGACGGCATCCCACTCAGCTTCCGGTTTAATAATTCCTGACAGTGAAAGACCACACACACAGACAAGCACAGACACACCCCTAGTTTAATCCCAGGAAGCTTTAGGAACAGAAGAGAATAGCACAAGATGGGGTGGGGCTTTCCGAAGCCCCAAGGAGAAGTACTGTCCTTCAGGAAACCACTGCATCTTGGGTGGCTGGTTTCGTGTCCTGTATGGGCCCCAGATGGACCAATGAGCAGGGAAAGAATGTTCCCACATGCCGTGGACGGCACCCCAAGAGGCAGGGGACATACATCACCCTAGAAAGAAGGCATGCAGACCCCTGGGGTGGGAATCTGGGTGAGCCCCGGGAGAGGGCCAGGCTCTGGGCAACCATGCTACCCCAACCCCCTCTCTCACCACCCTTTCCCGCAGAACTGGCTGATATTACCAGGAATTCGTCCCTTTCTCTAATTATCCTCTCCAGTTCTTCAATTCGCTGAAGCAGTTTCTGGAAGAAGAGTTCAGAGACTGAGGATCAAAACAGCCCCTCCAGTGGCTCCTATACATACACTCACACACACAAGGCAGAAGAGGAAAGGAGGTCCTTGGGTCTTAGAGGGGCCCAAGGTACAGGGAAGCTTGCCAAGCCAGGCTCCCCATTCTCTTCCCAGGCAACAAGAGGAAGGGACATGAGGCGTGGTGGGTGGTACCTGGGGGCTGCGTGCCTCGGACAAAAATGGTGCGGGGATGGGACCCTTTCTTTGGTCCCAGGATGCATTCCATACAACCCACTAGTGGGACTTTGGAATCAGACTGACCTCGCCTCTCAAGAACAAAGACGATTGGGTGTCTGAAAGTCTGCACTGTTTAAAGAGAAAAGTGCCTCTGAAGGATCAACGAAATCGCTACCACTTAAGTGGCTCCTTGGGGCTTCCCCGGTGGCTCAGTGGTAAAGCATCCGCCTGCCAATGCAGGAGATGCGGGTTCAATCCCGGGGTCAGGAAGATTCCCTGGAAGCGGAAATGGCAACCCACTCCAGTATTCTCGGCTGGGAAATTCCTTGGACAGAGGAGCCTGGTGGACTACAGTCCATGGCGTTGTAAAATGTTGGACACAACTTAGCAAAACAACCACCACAAGTGGCCCCTTAGAATTTTGGCAAAACTTCAGAATCTACGAATCTAAAGGTAAAACAACCTATAGTCTAAAGACCAAAGACAAACCCCAAACCTAAAAATGTGCTTGGTCGCTTGTGTCTGACTCTTTGCGACCCCATGGACCGTAGCCTGCCAGGCTCCTGTGTCCCTGGGGTTTTCCTGGCAAGAATACTGGAGTGGGCTGCCACGCCCTCCTCCAGGGGATCGTCCTGACCCAGGGATCAAACCTTTACTGCTGAGCCACTGGGGAAGCCACAAACCTAAAACCACCACAACTTTAAAAAGAAAAGCTTCCCAGAGCGAAAATGAGTCTGGCCGGAGGTCTGAGATGAAATGGGCACGTGGGCCTGGTGGCGAGCCCCCTCTAGGGTCTTGGTGGCCGCCTCCTTTGAGCTTTTTTTCTCCCTCAAGTCTCTCTTCTCAGCCTGGGCTGAGAAGAAGTCTCTCTTCTCTCCCTGGGCTTCCTCCAAACTGCTCCTCCTTATTCCAGCTCTAATCCCGGACTCAGCCTCATACAGGCCTGAAACAGGAGCCGGGCCTGGTATCTCCTGGAACTGACCTGCGCCAGGGCTCTGCTGTTCATTGGGAAATGCTTACACTCAGGGCTTCCGGCTTCTCCCTCCAAGGAAACAAAGATCCAAACGAGAGAGGTGTTGCCTGGGGGGCTGCGGATGGTGACCCATGACCCTCTCGTTCTAGCTCTCTTCTCTTGGACCAAACTTTATCCCTCAACACCCACCACCGTGCTCCTTTATTTAGTTTAAAGGAAAGTCACTTAAAGAACGTTCTGAGAAGTTCTTGGGCCCTCTCTGGGTCTGTTCAGGACGCATGGGTGTCTGACAAGTGGTGGGTGAGCCCCGGGTAAACAGAGGGGAGGAAGGAGGCTGCCCAGGAAGGGGGTCAACTCAGCCCCCCAAGGTGGGGGCCCCTGCCGCCCTCACCTCGGGCTGCAACTCAGGCTGCTCCTTCTTTTGATGGGCTTCCTTCAAAATCTTCATGTCTTCCATGAGGTCCTGGAGCAGCTCGGGGCCCTAAGAGGTAGAAAACCAGCCGCGGGGCTCCCGACCTGCACCCGGCCTTCCCACGCCTCCCTCTGGGCTCCGGGACTCCTCCCAGGAGCGCGTCTCAGAAGCTCAGCTCCCTGGGGGCGGGGCGCTGGAGAGCGGCCTGGAGGGGGCGGACCGCCCGCACACCCACCTGGAAGACCGGCTTGCTGTCCCTCCTGCCTTTCGTTGGCCCTGCCTGCCCCCTCTCCTGCGTCAGCAAGGCCAAATCCTTCGTTTCCAGCCAGTCACGGTCTTCCAGCCCGCCAGTCTGGGTGGGGAAGTGCTGCACGTGCGCCACGATGGCCTGCACCTGGCTCCCCATGGTCTTGAGCTGCCGGCCGAGGTCCTGGACCTGGGCGCCCAGGTCCTTCACCTGGGTCTCCAGCGTCTGCGCCCTGGCCACGCTGCTCCTTCGCCTCTCTTTGGGCCCCGGCAGCTGTGGGGTGCTGGTCGACACCCGCGCGGACTCAAAGGAGCGGCTCTGGTCGAGCATCGGAGACTGGAAGTCGATCCGCGTATCCTGCAGGTTGAGGCTCTTGAGCATGGCCACAAGGAGCGTGTGCAGGGCCATGAAGTTGACGGCGCCCACCTCCGGGGTGCCGATGGCGAGGTCAGCCAGCTCCCGGAGGGAGACCGAGGGGGCCGACGTCGCGGGCGGCATCGTGCGCCTTCTCCGGCGGCCCTGCCTGCCTTACTGCTTGCCCCGCCTCCGGGCCCTTTCAGGGCCCCTGAGGCGCCCCGGGGCGCCCCTGCCCCTGGGTTCAGCCGCGCTGGGCACCAGTCTCGGTCTGGAGCCTGTCTGAAGGACGGAGAGGAAGCGCCCGGCCACGGGCTTCCCACTCTTCGCTCCCGGGAAACCCGGGTCCCGGGACCGCAGAGCCTCTGCTGTCAGCCCGCCGCCATCCGATCACCGAGCTCGAACTCGGGAGTACAGTGTCCAAGCGGCCGGCGGACGTTTGGAACGAAGTTCGTGGCCCCGTTCGCTGCCCGGTTGTGGGGGGCCCCACGCGCATTCGGAGGATTCCACGGAAGAACGCGCCCAGCAGAGTTAGCCTCGGAGGGGAGACCTGCTGGTCCTTGAAGCCACCCCAGACAAAAGGAGAGCCTGTTCTAGTGGGTTGGGAAGCCCTGGTCACACCCCAAAGCACCACCAATTTTGGTTCTCAGTAAACGCCCCCCACCCCCACACCCAGGGAACACATCAATTTGGGGGTAGAAGGGTGGAGGCCCCCTAAGGCTCACCTAGATTCCAGCTGGTTCACTGGGGGGTGGGGGTGGGGGGGGATGAGGCGGGTCACAATAATGCAAAGATTTTAGGAGGCCTCATGGCCACTGGGTTTTGTGTGTTCCCTTCATAGGGCAATGGCAATCTAAGAGACACAGTTGTGAGACCTTGGCCCCTTGGGCACAGTTCCCATATCTGCTCAATCAGAGGGAAGGTAACTTAAATACCAGTCACACTATCCAGGTGGTTCTAGTTAGCCACCAGCTGGTAGAACTTTCTGTGCTGCCCTGGCCTTGCTTATCTCAGAACAGATTCATGTGGTCATGTGCCAGCATTTCCCCTGGTTACACGGCAGGGCTGATGAGATAGGACCAGGGGGAAAGTGATGCTCTCAGCAACTGAGGCTTGTTCTCCCATGCCAGATTCTCCCAGGAAATGGGTACCGCTTTCAGTGTTTACCTTCCAGATAAAGAAAACCTGCACCGGCACTTATACTAGATACTATTTTCACTACTTTTCAAAGTAAAATTTTTAGTTTGACCTGGTAAAATTGAAAGCCTCCATGTCCACTCCCTACGCCCCTCCAAAATAAAAGCAGTGTTTCTTGGAACTGGAGTTAACAAGTCTGTAACCTCCACGAGGGCTAACAACCCAAGGACTTTTGCTCACTATAATATTCCCAGAGCCTGACACACAGCAGGCCTTCAGAGGGGTTGTTGGGATCAGAAGAAATTATTCAGACCTCCCCGGTGGTCTGGTGGTTAGGACTCTGCGTGTCCACTGCCGAGGGCAGGGGTTCGATCCCTGGTTGGGGAACTAAGACCTCACATGCTGCGAGAAGTGGCCAAAAAATAGGGAGAAAAAAATCTTCGCAGTCTTTCGTGCACATACACTCCTACATTAGAAAACGTAAAGGCAGGTCAGAGTCATAGCTGAAACTTTTGGATTGAGCGTCAGCTGTATTGGAGGGTGAAATGTGTGGGCTTAATCGATTCTAAGTTCAGGGACCTTCCAGAAAAATATGACTGCTACTACACTAGCTGAGGCCAGAACATCAACTCTCTGGGCCCTCATGTTTCCATTTTCACGTCCGAGACTTGCTATCATGCTAGGCACACACTGCTGCTGCTGCTGCTGCTAAGTCGCTGCAGTCGTGTCCGACTCCGTGCGACCCCCTAGATGGCAGCCCACCAGGCTCCCCCGGCCCTGAGCACACACTAGGACTCACTAAATGTCAATGCAAAGGGCTTATTCTAACATACTCCAATCCTAACCCCAGGAACTGTACACCCAAATGCTTCTGTTAAATAAGTACCTTTAAAATATCTTGGAGACACAGAAAACACTTACTGGAGGTGTAAATGGAATTTGGGTTGAAAAGGACCTTGGCTTTTGATTCCAAACCTCCCCTTTGACAGCTGATGAGAGAGACCTGGGAAGGGTCATTGGCCCAACCTCCAGGACAAAACCAGTCTGCTGAGTAACAGCAGTCCACGACACTTCCTCTACAACCACGGGAATCATTTCACAATTAAGTTCTTTTCTCAAGATCCTCCTACTTGGACTCTTAACAGAAGGCAACTTTTTTCTGTGCTTGAGAAAGGGAATGTGTTCAAGTCTCCATGGTGGGCTGGGGAAATTTCCTAGCTGTTAGGAAAGGGAGAAGAATGTCCAGGAAACTTCCCCACAGATAAATGCAATGGTACAAGCAAGTGAATCGGTGTTTATTTAATCTCAGGAACCAACAGAACAAATGAGCAACTGCAGTTCATTTCCAGGCGGACACTGTTCCCTCCCCGTTTCATTCAGTTCTGACTTGGATCAGACTAGAAAAAGTCTACGTGGCACTTGCAGCAAGGCCTGCCTGACAAATAAGATGTCAACTATAACAGAATAAGGACTGTGTCATTTTAAATGTTGGCAGAAAAATGAAGTGCAGTCCTAAGTAACGCAACCAAACTAAATGTCACCTAGCACACAGGGAAAAAGTAGTTTAGGTCTATTAAAATAAAAACTACCACCTAGGTTTCAAATATTGAACATTCAAATATTCAGATATGAATATTCAAACATTCACTTATTATTCAACAAGAATTTAACTTCAGGAAACATGAGGTGAAGGGAATGGAATGTGCAGAGGGGCACGTCTATCCAGGGCTGGGGCCAGCCAGACCTGGGCTGTCCCGCATTCAAGGCACTGGCTTCTGCAGCGTCTGGACAGAAGGCAGGAGAGTGGGCAGCTCTGCAGTGAAGACACTAACACCACAGCAAATTCTTTTATTTGCAATTTAAGAGCAACGCAGGGATCCAGAGATAAGCATGACTCGCTAATGTGAAGTCCTCGCTAGGAGCACCACAACCAAGGCATCATTGTTCACTGACTGTTGGCAAGCGGGTTCTTAAAGAAAAATAGGATTCTCTAGAAAAGACTTGGAGAAAGCTGACCAGTGAGACGACAAGTGGAACAAGAACGGTGCTCAGCTTCCCTAACTGGGTTCAACATTAACACGGATGTGTTGGAAACAACTGAAAGAACGTTAGAGGGTCAGGGTTTCATCTGCCTTTCACTCTCTTTCAACACAAGCAAGATTTTCAGATTCTATTCAGGAAGGCATCTAGCTTTTTTAAGAGACAGGATGGTGACAGCAGACAGCTGAGGCCACTCCCCCAGATCCCTGCTGTCCCCTGGACTATCTTAATGCCTCCTCCCCACCGAACGTGGCAAGAGAAACCACGTGCCTCCCTTGAGAGGAAACACCGTGCACATAATTGATGGCACTGCTCTCCACACGCCTTCCTTAGGAGCTCGAGGGCCCAGGCAACCGCAAGAGCTAGTCGTCCACTGTGATGTTCCGGAAGAGGTACGCCATGGACTCCCCGTTGTGGATTCTCCGGATTGCTTCAGAAAGAATCAGACTGATGTCCACAGTCTTTATCTTGGGACACTGCAGCTTCTGCACCTCGTGAGGGACAGTATTCGTCACCACCACCTGGTTGACGCAGTAATGGAAAATAAACACTGTCACTGGCGTTGTGTGGCCTGAGGTGGCCACTTGGAAACGTGTATCTAACATTTGGTACCCACAGACCAAGTCTCAAACTACAAAACCTTACTTCACAGGGTATGTTTTTACAAACTAAACCAACACTACACAAGGGAAGGTTTACATTCAAGGGAAGGGGTTCAAAAGAGAAGCTTATGGAGGTCTTGGTCTATGTATGCAAAAATGATAGGGTGAGACCCAGCTCTGCGAGAAACCTTCCTATTAGGGAAGAATTTAGGTCTTGAGAGAAATGCTACTTTAGAATGAAATTATACTGAAATACAAATTATACTGAAGTACAGAGAGCAAGTCTTTATGAAAATAGACATATTCCTAACTGTGCACACATGTGTGCTAAGTCACTTTAATCATGTTCGACTCTTTGCAACCCTATAGACTGCAGCCCACCAGGCTCCTCTGTCCATGAGATTCTCTAGGCAAGAATACTGGAGTGGTTGCCATGGCCCCCTCCAGGGGATCTTCCCGACCCAGGGATCGAACCTGTGTCTCCTGCGGCTCCTGCACCGCAGGTGTATTCTTTACCGCTGAGCTACCAGGCAAGCCCGTATTTCTAACTGTAAATCTGACATCTGCCCAGACTGCTAGCCACCCAAAGCATGATTTCAGTCCTTTGGAGAGGGAGGAAGTGATACTGACTGAGCCACTGAACTATCCACAGAAGACAGAGCAGCAAATCATGACTCAGAAGCAGACAGACCTCTAAGTTAGGCTAAGTGCACTTCCCTGAATGGCTCACCCAGGACGTCTACCTTACATGGAAATAATGTTAGCTCTTTCCGTATTAAAGATTTAAAACCTCGAAAAGAGCAGACAGACCTCGTCGATGGAGGACTCCTCGATGAGACGGGGGGCCTCTGCGGACAGGATGCCGTGTGTGGCCATGACGTAGATCCTGTAAGCGCCTCTCTCCTTCAGAATCTCCGCAGCGGCCACGAAGCTCTCCACGTCGTCGATGATGTCATCCTGCGGACAGACCCACGCTCGGGCTCGAGGAGGTCCCTCCACCCCCGTCTATAAACACGCGCCTCTCTGCACTTTGCTTCCAAGGTTGTCCAATGGAAGAACGGAGCCATCCGCCCGGGTCAAAGACAGGACTGAACAGCCCTCGGCAGCGGCAACAGAGCCGCGTGGACTGAACAGAGGAGAGCGCGGCAAAGCCTTACAGCGTGACATTCCACTTCAGCTCAGGAGATCTCCCAAGATCCCTCTCCCTATCTATTTCAAACTTCTGATGAAAACCACATAGCCAGTGTCTCATTTACTGTTTGCCCAAGAGAAAGTTAACTGATGGGAACAGAGCAATGAAGTGAGCCACAGTAAAGGTCTGACCCTGTGGCCCAGCAGAGGCAGTTTAGAGCTGGGAACACAGGTACTGTGTTAAAGTAATAAAGGAGACACGTCCTCACTGGCGAAAACGGAAGGGCCGTCGAGCTCACTTCACGGCCCACAGACTTAAGGGTGAGGAGCAGGGTCGGCTGGTTTGATAGAACCCTGGGCCCTGAAGACAAGGTTATTTGTGGAACTGAATTTACTTACAGGTGCTACTACTGTGCTCATTTTACATGTGTAAGTTGTAATAATGATCCCTGTTCATCTGCTTTAAAAGTTTCTGCTACTTGTCCTAGGGGGTCCAAGGCCAGACGGATCCGTTTAAATGTACGATCATCACCGGACACCCATCCCAAGATGGACACTAGTAGGTCTGCACAGGACGGGAGATGGTGACCTACCACTATGATCGCGATGCGTCCTCCCACATCTCCAACTACAGTTATGGGCGGCTTCTCCTTGGCCATCATCACTAGGAAAGCAAAACAAATCACAAGATCCCAGTCAGCCAAGGGTCACTAGGTGAATGAAGTCATCACATCACATACCCTGGAACAGGTGGCAGAGCCCGAACAGACAATTTAAAAATGTGTGGATTCCCCTTAGTCAACCTGAGGCCTCTCAGAGATGGGTCATCTAGAGGAGCACCGTCCACCAGCAAGGAAGCCGAGTTTAAACTTTACATACCCACATCACAAAGCAAAAAGAAACAGATGAAATTCACAGATTTTTCCTGTACTCAGTATACCTAACATATTATCATTTTGACACAGAATCGATATGCACCTTTATTAGAGACTTTTTTTTCCTCTCATCACTGTCTTCTTATTTGGTGTGCCTTCTCCACACATGGTGATTCTCAGTTGGGACCAACGGCATTTCAAGGGTTCAGTGGCCCTGTGTGCCGAAGACCCAGACCACCCTGGGCGCTCGGGGGCCTCCAGACGGAGGGTGGAGGAGCAGAGCGAGAAAGAGCTCACTGGTACAGAGAAGCAGCCCGACCGACTGCAATGCCACTCAGAACAGAAACGTAAATAAATGCCGCTGAGAAAGTAAACAGGGAAATGCTGTCAAAGAGCTGGCTTGACTTCATTTTCTTCCACGGTGACCTTCCTGGGACAAAGAATGTAACCTCACTATCAAACAACTACACCACTGACATAATCAGTTTCCTGAAAATTAGGAAGCTGAAGACAATAATCACAAGTCCATCATCTTTTCCTGATTTAACTGGTCCTTAAAGTTGAGGCTTCTTATCTACTACAAAATTTACATGTGAAAAAGGCCCATCCTGAATACAAAGCAAACTACAGGATGCAGAAGGGACAGAGGAATTCACTTTGCAAAGGGGGTTAAGTGAACTGGGCCTGCAGCAGTTGTGACCGACTCTGCGCCCCATGGACTACAGCCCGCCAGGCTCCTCTATTCACGGGGACATTCTCCAGGCAAGAATGGAGGGGTTGCGCGGCCTGCTCCAGGGGACTCTCCTAACGCAGAAAGGAACCTGCGTCCCCCGAGGCTCCTGCACTGCAGGCAGATTCTTCACTGCTCAGCCCCCAGGGAGGCCCCAGTAAACTGGGGGGACAGAAGTATTTCAGAACAGACATTCTGCTTTTTTGGGAGAGCTTTTTAATCTTTTCTAGCCACTCTGCGTGGCATGCAAGATCGTACTTCCCCATCTGTGCCCCCCTCCACTGGGAGTGTGAAGTCTTCACCACTGGACCGCAGGGGAACTCTTGGAAAGCTTCTTTTAATCTGAAATATCTACTGTAGGAGTAGTGAGGGAAGGGGAAGAGGCTAAATTCAGGGTAATTCTACAGTTCGGCCATCCACCAGAGCTGACTCCTCTCGACAGGTGCTGTAAGCCTGCAACAACAGGTGTCCCTCCGCGTGTACCAGCAAATCAGCCAGGCTGAAATCCAGCACCACATTACTGGCAAACTTCAACAGACATTTCCTGGTCTCCCATCCCGGAAACAAGGCAATTTCCTGAATTTGGGCAGTCACAAAGGCTCTGCATATAAGCATCACCTAAAAGAGGAGGAAGTAAACCACCAACATCAGAAAAACCCTCCTCAAATCCTGTCTGTAAATTAAACCATGTGGGTAGGTGGTTATGCTGACCTCCCCACTTCTTAAAGAGATGTGGTCCCTTTCTTGACCATTTTTCTCTGTAAAAAAAGGAAAAGACTGCAAGCTAGAATCCCGTCAGACCGCAACAGAAACTCGGCTCTAGTTTGATGCTCCTGTTGACTCTTTGGTAAGCTTACCTTCCCCCCCCCTGCCAAATTCTATCAGTTTGAAATGAAAAAACAGGCATGGCTGGGGTTGAAGCCTAAAAAAAAAAGACTAAGAAAACAAAAGCTTCACGCCTGGTACACTCAGTCCCTGCTCATAACTGGCTTTGGGAGCAGCACAAACTCAACACGCAATTTGGTGGTGACTAAAAGAGACAGACTTCATTAGAGCATCAAGAGAACAGGCCCCCACAGGACCTCCCTGGTGGCGCAGTGGGTTAAGAATCCGCCTGCCAATGCCGGGGACATGGGTTTGATCCCTGATCTGGGAAGATCCCACATGCTGCAGGAGCAGCTAAGCCCGTCCTCTGCGACAAGAGAAGCCGCCGCAAGGAGAAGTTCTAGCACCCAAACCAGAGAGTAGCCCCTGCTCGTCACAAGTAGAGAAAAGCCCGTGCAGCCACAAAGACCCAGCACAGCCGGAAAGAGATCAACAAATAAATTACTAACAACAAAAAAGTTAGGTGTCAGGTGAAAAGAGCTACATCACTAAAATAAATGCTAGCTACCTGATCACCAAAGCCTGATATTTGACAATGTTTGCCAACATCCATCTTGTGTGCAGGTGTACTAAGTCGCCTCAGTCATGTCTGACACTCTGTGACCCTACAGACTGTAGCCCACGAGGCTCTTCTGTCCACGGGATTTTCCAAGCAAGAATACTAGAGTGGGCTGCCATGCCCTCCTCCAGGCAATCTTCCTGACCCAGGGATCCAACCCGTTTCTCGTAAGTCTACTGCATCGGCAGGCAGGTTCTATACCACTAGCACCATCTGGAAAGCGTCATCACCCATCTTACCAAAATACAAATGCTTAAGATTTCATACCACTACACATACAACTTTTTACTAAAGCCAAAATTATTTCACACTCTTGGAAAGCCAAGGGCTACCCATATTAGCTCTACTGTCCTCAATGCTTACAAATGTGTGTAACAAAATATTTCACCAAAGGCGAAACCACTGTAATACCATTCAATTATTTTAAAATACCAAGATAGCATGTCACTTATAAACAGAATCTAAAAAAGCACACAGATGAACTTATTTACAAAACAAAACAAACTCACAGACTTAGGAAACAGACTTATGGTTACCAAAGGGGAGAGGTATGAAGGGAGATAAGTCAGTTAGGAGTTTGGGATTGACAGATATGCTAACATGTACACTGCTATATGTGAAACAGTCAGCACGGGCCTCTGCACAGCACAGGGACTCTGCTCAATACTCTGTAATACGCATAAGGGAAAAGACTCTGAAGAAGAATAGATATACGTGTGTGTGATATGTGTAATAGATATAATAACTAAACTAGGCTTCCCTGGTAGCTCAGTGGTTAAGAATCCACCTGCCAATTCAGGAGATGCAGGTTCAATCCCTGGATCAGGAAGATCCCCTGGAGAAGGAAATGGCAACCCACTCCAGTATTCTTGCCTGAGAAATCCCATGGACAGAGGAGTCTGGTGGGCAACAGTCCATGGGGTCACAAAAGAGTCAGACACACAACTTAGCAACTAAACAGCAACAACCACAAATAACTAAACCACTTTGCTATACACTCAAAATTAACACGGTACTGTAAATCAACTATACTCCAATATAAAGTAGTTTTTAAATCATATTAATACTAAAAAAAGAAATAAAATCTAAAACTTGTAATAATACTAAAAAAAGAAATAAAATTTCAAACTTGTAAAAAAAAAATACCAAAATACATCCATGTAGGAATGAACTCCTAGCCACTCCTACTATTCAAAACTGTCTTCGATTTACAAACAGAATAAAGACACAGCTGATCTTACACGGCAATTCCAGCCCTGGGTGGACAGTCGCGTTCTTGACCATCGGCGGGGAATGGCGGCCGTCGTCCATGTCCATCTCCGCACACTGGGCCTCCCCATGGATGACAGCCAGGCCCAGACGCAGCCTCTCTGCGTACGACTGGGCCCTGAGAGGAAGCCAACGGGAGAGGGTGAGATGCATGGGAAGGAAGACCCAAGCGTGGCTTTTTCATCACTTCATTAACCACAGAATGAAAATACCAGTCCACCTTTTAGGGACACGCAAAGTAACTGTTTCTGCAAGTCACAATGTGAGGCTTGGGCCAGAATGCAAATGTCTCAAGAGGACCCCAAGGTGGGAAGTGGGCTGGCATCTGACTCTGGTCATTTTGGTTCTACTCTTTGCCCAACATTCTACTCTTTGCCTCACATTCATTTTTAGTTGCTTTTTGGTTTTGTTTTTTTCTCTACTTTTTGGCTGCCTGTCACACCAGGATATTAGTTCTCTAGCCAGGGAGGGAAGCTGAGACCCCCGCAGTAGAAACTCAGTGTCTTAACCACTGGACTGCCAGGGAAGTCACTCATCTTCAGAATTCTGTTCAAAAAGGTCTCAAAAACCACTGCCTGAAAGGCGCTTGTGGCATTCCTGTTTTCCTTTTGCTGAGAACTTGAAGGACTTAGACCCCGGATCCTAACACAGCCCATTTTGACTTCAGAAGCACCGGAAAGCGATGAGTGTGTCTAGCTTATTTACCTTTTTGCAGCATCAGGCGATTTAGCTACAATGACTGCATTTCTGTAATTTGGAATCTAGATTTGGAGGAAAAATAAGAAAATACTGAAAAGATATCAAAAAATAAATAAATAAACAAAAATACTTGGGTGCTGGCATTACATCTTTTTTCCTCTTATAAAAATGATCCATATTAGCAAATATGTATGCTAGAATCTCAATTCACAGTTACCATTTTTTAATCCCTATCAATTAGCATCATGGCCAAAGTAGGCTACATCAAGAAGATAAAAAACAATTCTTAAAACCTTCATTTTAAAAAATATAAGCAAATGGCTAAAGATAATTAGAAGGAAATCTGTCTTTAATGTCTTTAAAAAATAAAAGATCCTCTGTGCCTCAACGCTGACCCTGGCTGGCTGCCTCAGGCATTAAGACTTCAGCAAGAGATCATGTGATCACCCTTTGTGCCTTTCAGTATGGAAACCTGGTACCAGAGAAGAACTACATGGGGTCTCTTTTGAGGACAAGGGGGTATTTGCTGGTGCTCCTCACTTCTTCCTGGATATACTGAAGCAGGAAAGGTGAGGCTCTAAGGTTGTCCACGGGAAAGCTGAAAAAGCCTTGTATTTCCTTTTGATGAAGATCCATAGTGATAATGTGAGTTAAACCTGAAATTTTAAAACACAAAATTACAAAGTTCACCCCTACAAATTGACAGCTACAGTGGACACAAACTAGGCACCCAATGCCTGCTTCCTAACAGAAGGCAGGGGGTACTGTGAAGAAGTACGCTGGTTCTATACCTTATTTGCAACCTTAACAAAACTTAGTAAAGACAATGCTAAGCCTGATGTAAAGAAGCCCATAAACTTCCACACGGATTAGAAAACTAAACCTAGAAAGAACAGCGCTTCCTTCTCCTCTAACTATTAGCTTGGGCCTGAAAACTAGAGAAAGAAAAATCAGGCAGAAGCAAAAGTATGAATAGGGCATTAAATACTGGAGCAAAAAATAGATGTTAAAAACAAGTAAGGCCTTGATTAAAGAATCTAGGAAGAAATGTTGAAGGGTTGTAGATAAATGAAGAAGGAACAAGAAAGCAAAAGCAAAGTAATATATATATACTAGAAAGAAAGAAACCACAAAACACAAGGATAAGACACTGAAGAGTCTGGAAAAATCTGTGTTATGTCCTAAGAGAATGGGTTAGGAAGTACGCCTACAGAAAAACAGTGAAAACATACTCTTATAATCAACAGTGCTAAACAAAAGAAAATGTACATTCATGGCAAGTGGCCAAGCTCAGTGAAAAATTTCCAGAGCAAAATTTCTGGTTCTTTGGAAAGAACCAGAATGACTTGTTCTTTCCAAAAACATTACACATTTTTAAAGAATGGAATTCAAATATGTTTCTGAGGACTCAGATCTATATTTGAGTTTTTAAATAAACATGAAGCAAATAAAATCCCAACAACTGAAAGGTTATTACATTGAACAGAAAGTATGTCAGTACAAAAACATGATGAAACGATCTGCTATACAGAAGGACAATCAGGGAGGGAGAAGAGAGTATGTAAGCTGAAAAAAATGGTAAAAGAAAAACCCAGTTTTACTACTATGTACATACACTGAATTTTGTGCTATTGTGTTTGACTCTTTGTGACCCCATGGACTGTGGCCCGCCAAGCTCCTCTGTCCACAGGATTATTCCAGCAAGAATACTGGAGTGGGCTGCCATTTCCTCCTCTAACGGACTTTCCCAACCCAGGGCTCAGATCAAACCCACGTCTCCTGTGGCTCCTGCATTGGCAGGGGGGAATTCTTTATCACTGAGCCCCCTGGTGGCTAAGGTTTAAACAAATCTAGACTGAAGCTCAAAAGATCACAGCCGAATGCCAAGATGGTCAGCTAAAATTTCAATGATGATAAGATGACTAGGACATAGAATGTGGAAAAAGTCCAAGTTAAGAGAAAAGAATCCTGAAACAAACAAGGTCACTCTGAAGTGGGACAAAGAGGAAAAAAAATGTACACCTAAGCTCACGGATCCTTAACCAGAATTATGCAAAAACAAGCAAGACAAAGAAACTACCCAACAACACTCAGAGAAACAGGTAACCACCAACCACCTACGGCTGGTGGGGTATGGACTACTCTGGCCCGGGGAGGGTCCTAACTGCCGGTATAGGGCCCCAGGCGCGGGCCGCACTCACCTGCTTTTGCCAGCATGGATGCCAGGAGCTTGCACACAATGGAGCCCCTCTTCCGCATCTTGCTCTGCTTGCTGTAGGGGAAGTAGGGGATGACACCAATGATGTTCCTGGCACAGGCCGTCTTCAGTGCATACGCCATGATCAGCAACTCCATCACAGCCGTGTTCACGTCTCTGAAACAGGTGATTTGTCCTTTGGGATTAATGTCATTTATTAACCCCTGGCAAGGATCTCAATCCCAGCAACCTGACCTGGGTTGCCAAGATGGGTGTTAATGTGAATCATCTCAGTAGCTTAGGATGGCACCTCCTGAATAGAGGAGGAAGCTGGTTCACTTTTCTTTTGAGCTGAGTGAACTCTAGTTTGCATCTGAGGTTACTGACATTCACAGCACCATCATCCACACTCATCTCTGCCTGGATCTTGTCAATGACCCGGTCATGGGAGTGGCGGGTGAAGCAGATGTTGACTGCTGATGACCGGTTAACCCACACCTGCTGGTACCATCCCCAGGATCTGAACTCAGGCCAGGGTGCTGGCACCTCCTTTTCCTGGGAACACCATGGGAAATCCACAAGCCCTTCCACTTAGCTGAAAGAATTTGGTCTTTTCTTTTTTTTTCGGGTGGAGAGAAGGGTGAGTGGGGCAGGAAGGTCTTGGAAGTTAATTTCCAAAAATCTCCCCCATCCCTTCTTTCCCTGAGATACACAGATTCACGTGCGTGCTTAGTCGCTCAGTTGTATCAGACCCTTTGCCTACCAGGCAAAAGGGTATGGACACAGCCTACCAGGCTACTCTGTCCATGGGATTCCCCAGGCAAGAATCCTGGAGTGAGTTGTCATTTCCCTCTCCACAGGAATCTTCCTGACCCAGGAATCGTCTCCTGTGGATCCTGCATCGGCAGGCGGATTCTCTACCACTGAGCCACCTGGGATACAAAGGTTACCCAGCCAGACAAAGAAGGAAATGTGAATCTGAGAGGTATTCAAAGGAAAGGCTAACTATGGAAAACAGTGTGGAGATTTCTTAAAAAGCTGGAAATAGAACTGCCATATGACCCAGCAATCCCACTTCTGGGCATACACACTGAGGAAACCAGATCTGAAAGAGACACGTGCACCCCAATGTTCATCGCAGCACTGTTTATAATAGCCAGGACATGGAAGCAACCTAGATGCCCATCAGCAGATGAATGGATGAGGAAGCTGTGGTACATATACACCATGGAATATTACTCAGCCATTAAAAAGAATTCATTTGAATCAGTTCTAATGAGATGGATGAAACTGGAGCCCATTATACAGAGCGAAGTAAGCCTGAAAGATAAAGACCATTACAGTATACTAACACATATATATGGAATTTAGAAAGATGGTAACGATAACCTTATATGCAAAACAGAAAAAGAGACTCCGATGTATAGAACAGACTTGCGGACTCTGGGAGAAGGCAAGGGTGGGATGTTTCAAGAGAACAGCATCGAAACACGTATATTATCTAGGGTGAAACAGATCACCAGCCCAGGTTGGGTGCATGAGACAAGTGCTCGGGCCTGGTGCACTGGGAAGACCCAGAGGGATCGGGTGGAGAGGGAGGTGGGAGGGGGGACCGGGATGGGGAATACATGTAAATCCATGGCTAATTCATTTCAATGTATGACAAAAACCACAGCAATGATGTAAAGTAATTAGCCTCCAACTAATAAAAATAAATGAAAAAAAAAAAAAAAGGAAAGGCTATTTCCAAATTTTAATGAATGCTGAGTGCCACCCGTTGCCAAGACTGATCAAGTAGCAGGTAGGGCTCTGCTCTTAAAGGGCCCTGAAATCCTTTGGGATGACCTTCCAAAGTTCAATCCTCTCTCTCCAGCCTCCTCCCAACTCTTCTTGGAATTGTCCAAGTGTCCTCAAACACCCTTTCTTTGGCATTAGGAGTGTATTTCCCTTGCCTTCCCAAGATAAAGAAGATCATTTCCCATGTCCGAGTTCCCACCCAAGTGAGGAAAAGGCTCTTCAGATTATACTTTACAAAAAAAAAGAAAAAAGGAAAAGTTTTACTTATTTATGTTAATTTTTGGCCATACCCCATGGTATGTGGGATCTCAGTTACCTGGCCAGGGACTGAACCTGCATCCCTGATTTGGAAGGCAGAGTCTTAACCACTGGACCACCAGGGAAATCCCTGGATCATTCAGTTCTTGAATCACCTGATCAAAATGGAAAGGCCTGCCATCAACACAGCAGAAACTTAACAAATGACTGTTGAATAAGTAGAAGAATGAAATACTCATCATGAAATGCTTTGCAGCTTGAAGGACTGTCAGGCCGCTTCCCCCTAGTCTCTTCCAGTTTATATTCACACCTGTGCAACTGGGAGGGAGCGATGCAAAGACACCCTTTCCCTCTAACACTGTTTCCGCACCCATGTTCACTGGGGGGACTCCTTACCTCCCCTCTGTAGTCTGGACTTTTCATGACTATTTCAAGGTTCAGTCATAAGCTTCTATGTTTACTTCTCCCACAGGGTAGGCAGAGTTGATTCTGGGCTCAACTTCAAGATGCAACTGTCGACTAAGATATTCCTTTTGGACTGCTAACAGGTTACATATTTTCCAATTATCATTTCCTTCCTCTGAAATAAACTAGAATCTTCTTCTTCCTCATATTTCCAAGTTAATAACATCCCATGTCTGGCATCAAAAGGTCAGAAGACACACAACCTTTTGGTATAATCATGACAAGACATTTATCAAACACTTTCAAGGTTATTAGGTTGGTGCAAAAGTAATTTCAGTTTTGCACTGTTGAACTTCGCTGTTTTGGAATACTTCCTTAAATAGATGTGGTTATATTATACATCATTTTAATGCATGTTTCTCACTTTATGTTTTTTTGCTAATAACTTATTACTGTGTATTTTATATTTATTTTAAACTAGGGAAATGATGTTAGACAAAAAGCAAGTTCCTGCGATTTTCTTATTCACGTTCAAAATGCGTTATAAAGCAGCGGGGACAACTAGCAACATCAACAATGCACTGGCCCCAGGAACTGGCTAACAACGTACAGGGCGGCGGTGGTTCAGGAGTCTTGCAAAGGAGACGAGAGCCTCGAGGATGAGGCGCGCAGTGGCTGGCCATCGGAAGCTGACAACAAACAACTGAGAGCATCACTGAAGCTGATCCTCACAACTACACAAGAAGTTGCCAAAGAACTCCACAACGGCCATTCTGCGATCACACAGCCTTCGAGGCAAACTGAAGCAGTGAGAGCACTCTGAGCGCAGGCCTCGCGAGGCAACCGAAAAATCAGAACGCCGTCATTGTGAAATGCTGTCTTCTCTTACTCCATGCAGCAACAGTGAACCACATCTCGACTGGATTGACTGTGACATGCAATGCGAAGTATCTTTTATACAGCAACCGGCGACAACCAGCTCAGTGCCTGGACTGAGAAGATGCTCCAAAGCACTTCCCAAAGCCAAACTTGCACCAAAAAAATGTCAACGTCACTGTTTGGTGGTCTGCTGCCAGTCTGATCCACTACAGCTTTCTGAATCCTGGCAAAACATTACATGTGAGAAGTATGCTCAGCAGATTGATGAGATGCATCAAAAACCGCAACACCTGCAGCTGAGGCTGCAGAAAGGACCCAATTCTTCTCCATGACAACACCTAACCATACGTTGTACAACCAAGGCTTCAGAAGTTGAATGAATTGGGCTACAAAGTTTTGCTTCATCCGCCATATTCACCTGACCTCTCGCCAACCAACTACCACTTCTTCAATCATCTTGACAACTTTTTGCAGGGAAAATGTTTCCACAACCAGCAGAAGGCATAAGAAAATGCTTTCCAAGAGTTTGTATAATCCCGAAGCACAGATTTTTACACTACAAGAATATACCAACTTATTCCTGGAAACTTATTCCTCTGGCAAAAATGTGTTGATTTTAATGGTTCCTATTTTATAATAAAGATGTGTTTGAGCCCAGTTAATGATTTAAAATTCATGGTCTGAAATCGCAATTACATTTGTATCAACCTAACACTTAGGAATTCATAATACTTGGTCAGTTTTCCACACTCTTCAACAATTTTCATCCTGCATCATCTATTTACCAAATATTTACTGAGCACCTTGCATCAGATACTGTGTCAGGTGGGGAGATAACCTGGTAAATGAGGCTGACCTCATCTTGTTGGGGAGGGGGTCCTTTGGCTCTCCCCCACCATCACCCTTGGAATCATTTGTCCCTAGAAGGAGCATGCTAACTCACCTAAGAATGTCCCCTTCCCGTTCTGATCCTTCAGCCCAGAGGAGAGCTCCCCACCCACAACAGATCATCTCAAGGGATGCCTGTGGGCTCTGGGGGTTGAGATGAAGCCGGCACGGCACTCGGGATAGAATGAAGGTAACTCAGGAGTCCGTCTCTAAACATCAGGCATCATATACCCTCTATCAAAAGCCTCTTCCACATACAGACTGCTTGTTGACGTTAGATAAGCTTTCTTAATCTTCCACTGGTGTGGTGCAGTGTGTGGCATTAAAAAAGCTTCACTGGACATGGTGGTTTCTTATACCAGATCCCAATGCCAGCAATACGTTGAGAGTTGAAGTTAATTAAACAGACCCTGGAAGGATATCTATCTGGGTCATGGGTTTTTTAGCTGTCTTTGTGACAGCATTTACAATATACAACCATGCGCCACCAGGTTTAGACAGCACGCAAGGGAGGGCCAGATGGTAAGACACTGAGTGTAACAAGAGGAACAAAAGTTTTGGAGAAGCCTTGATTTCAGAGTAATTTTCTTTCCACTAATTACTAATCTCTCCCATGAGGTTTTTATTTTTTTTTTTTTACTTTTTCCGTTTCCTAATGACCTATGCACCAGGGGATTCACATTCTTTAGATCAAGGTTAAGGAAAGCCTCCCATGCCCCATCCCTTTTTGGTCAGGAAGGGGACAAAAGGGCCTTTGTCACAGGGGCTTTACCCATTCTCTGAGGGACGCCGGACAAACTGGATACCAGGCAGTTACTGTGTGGGCTAGCAGGGCCAAGAGAAACTAGCTGGCAGCTTCTGCTTTATCTGTTCCCAGCACATTCTGGCTGCTGCTGCTAAGTCGCTTCAGTCATGTCCGACTCTGTGCAACCCCACAGACAGCAGCCCAC